GCTGGGGGGCTACTTCTCGACTGTGACCCAGCCCTGGTGAGTAGTAGGGAGCTCACCCCTGCCCCGTCCTCCTCACACGTGTTCCTTGACCCCTGGTCCCTGTGCCCCCAGGTTTGTGCCTCTGAACAGGACGGTTCCTGCACCAGACAACCTGCCCAACTACGAGAACACGGTGGTCTTCTTTGTGTCCAGCTTCCAGTACCTCATCTTGGCCACGGCCATGTCCAAGGGGGCGCCCTTCCGCAGGCCACTCTACACCAATGGTGTGATGGAGGGAGGGGCTGGGGGGACTAGGGGGCACCCTTCGGGCATGTGTGTGAGTGTGTGGGGGCTCCCTGGCCTGACTGACTCCTTCACCTGCAGTGCCCTTCCTGGTGGCCCTGTTGTTCTTGGGCTCCGTCCTGGTGGGCCTCCTCCTGCACCCTGGCTCCCTGCAGGGGCTGCTGCAGCTGAAGAACATGACTGACACCTGCTTCAAGCTGCTGCTGCTGGGCCTGGTTGCCCTCAACCTTGTGGGAGCCTTCATGCTGGAGGTGGGGCCTGCCCCAAACTGGGGGGTGGATGGGGGCTCTGGGGGTGGGACTCAGCCACAGCTGCCCCTCTGCCCCATCCCTGTCCCCGGCAGAGTGTGCTGGACCAGTTCCTCCCAGGATGCCTGAAGCGGCTCCAGCCCAAACGGGCCTCCAAGAAGCGTTTCAAGCAGCTGGAGCAGGAGCTGGCTGAGCAGCCCTGGCCGCCACCCACTGAGCCCATGAGGTAGCGCAGGCCCCGGCTGGCACCCTGGACACTGGATCTCCCTGCCTCTGAGCCACCCACTGGGACCCATCTCCAGAGACACCACCGCCATCACTACTGCAGCCCTGAGGTTGGCGTTTGTCACCCTCATGCCCCAAGTCTTCCTGGCCCAGCCTGCTCCCACCTGGGGAAATGCTAACTCTCGATGTCCCCCTTCAGATGTCCCATGTAGTGACGGCAGCCACCACCCCCACTCAGAACTGCTGTCAGTGTAGCAAATAAAGTCATAATATTTTCCTGGCTTGGCCCTGCCTGTCTCCTGCCTGATGCCACTGACCCAGGTGCCCGGCTGGCAGCCCCTGGCACATGTCTGCTCCCAGCATCCCCAGATTTTCCAGGTCACATTGAACAGCTCTCCTCTCTGAGCCTATGTTTCTTCATCCGACAGTACTATTTCCTGACTGAGCATGTGCCTGGTGCTCTGGTCAGCATTTTATATGCATCGTCATTTAATCCTCACGACAGCTGTGGCATACTGTACCCCTCTTACAGACATGGAGACTGAGGCTTAGCGGTCATGCAGGTAGTCCGAGGTGGGGCCAGAGGGCTTTGAATCCAGAATCTGCGCTCTTAACCTTCCTACCCTCCTGCAGAGGCAGGAAGACAATTGCTTGCCTCTGACAAGTGCCAGTGCCTACCAGGTATTTAACTGGGGCAGTTCCCGCTCTCCCCCAACATCCTGGGACATGTTTATCATCCAGTTCTTCCCTCAGATAAAAATCCAGGCTCTGAGCCCACGTCTCCCAGCCCAAACCACGTGCCCTGTCCCCCAGCGAAGGGTGGGTGCTTCTGACCTCATCCCACCAATGGGACACTGGCCAAGCCCTGCTCTGGAGATACAGCTTGATCATCTGGTCCATCTGTGCTGGGCAGGGAGAACAGGAAAGAAAAGCCCCCGCCATTCTCATTGCTGAAATTTCTGGTGCCATCCCCAGCCTCCCCTAGTGGGAGCCCAGTGAAAGTTGAATCAAACTGAGGACAAGAGATGTGGGGCGTGAAAAGATAACTTGTACGCCAGGCGCATCCACAGACCTTCTGTGCTGGCCACTGAGTCATCAGGCAGCGACAATTCAGGGTAGCAGATGCTGGGGAGGCCGGAGGACCCAGGGCAAGGCGTGGGTTTGAATCCCTCCTCTACCCCATCTGATTAGTCATACATTTGCTCAGCAGTCATGTGCCAAGCACAGGGGCTACAGAGGTGAACAAAAACAAAAAATGACCTCTGCCTGTGTGCAGCTTATAATGTGGTGTGAGAGGCAAGCAGGGAAGGAACAAATCTCCAAGAATATTGGGGAAGAGAGCTGTCACCCACTCCCTGCTACCCGACCAGCTGCCACCTCTGCTTGGGTCCTTAGGGCCAGGAGAGTGGGCAGAAGCAGCAGAGAGGATCTAGGAGCCAGGACACTAGCGGTGGCAGCTTTGGGGCTTCAGTGTCCCCATTTTATCAAGTCCTGGGGGGCAGCATTTATGCCAGGCAGTCTCCTCTCCTACCCTAGTGGGATTGCACCTGGCAGCAGGGAAGGACTAAGGAAGGGCAGAGAGGGCTGGGCTGGCCCCCAGGGAGCATTGTACCCCAGGTGACAAAAGTCCCTGCTATTCTGCCATAGACACTGGAGAGGGGGTTGGCAGATAGTCATTCATTCATTCACTTGACAAACCAGCACTGGGAAACAAACAGTACATGGGACATAGTCCCTGCCTAATTCAGATTCAGAATCTAACGGATCCACAGCTGTGGGGGGCGTGACTGCAGACAAGGAGATCTGAAGGCAAGGGCCTGAATCAAGAAGCATCTGGATCCTTCTCCCAGCTGAGCCCTGGTCTTAGGCCTAGACTCCTGTGACCAGGCAGCGCTGAGGACTGCCCTGGAGGCAGGGGTCCTCCAACCCCCACACCCACCAGTCTCTCCCAGGAGAATCCACTGTACATGGGTTTATTCATTCCACAAATGTTTACTAAACAGCTGCTCTGAGCCTGGCATGGTGCCTAATGGGCAAAAACTGAGGATAAGCAAAAGCAGTCTTTTCCCTGTCTTCCTGGGGCTGACAGGTTCACTGGGGAAAGAGGCAGGGTCACATGGTCACAGACATAGGGCACCAGCTGTGAGCAGTAAAACAGAAGATGCTTAAGAGCTTGTAACAGGGAGAAAGGGAAGGCTTCTCTGAAGAAGGAAGGATTTGATCTATGACCTGAAGGAGGAAGACCTCACCAGTGTTCCAGGAGGAAAAAACAGCTTGAGCAAAGGCCCTGTGGCAGCTGGAGGAAGGGGTTCAATGAGAAACTGCCTAAAGGCCATTGAGGCTGTTGGGAGACTAGGCAGAAGGAATGAGGAGGCAGAGCGAGGCTGTGATGAAAGGTAGGGGCTTTGGGGGCCCCTTGGGAGTTTAGCCTTGTTCCCAGGTACCATGGGAAACCAACGAGAGGCTTTAAGTAGAAGTCCCCCTACCCCCACCCTGTCTGAGGTGAGTGGGGGAGGGCAGGGCCCACTTGGGAAGGCCTAGATTGGAGGTTATTACAGAGTCAGAATTAGTGGTGGGAGTTTGATTGCCTGCAGAGGCTGAGGGCAGGGGAGTTAGCCTGGGTAATGGAAGAATGGTGGGCTCAGGTCCTGAATGGGAACATCTTTGAGGGCCAGGTCTGGGGAGGGTGGAGAGGCTGTGATTTTATGGATCCTTGTTGGATTGGCTGTGCCTTGGGAACATTTGTGGGACCAGGCCCGGTATCCTTAGCCCATGGGTTCGAAGAAATACTGGTTATGGAAGCCAGCTGTGGCCAGGAGCTGGCCAAGGAGACCCAGAAGGCACAGCCAGGGAGGGCGTTCTGGAAACTGGAGGGCAAGGCTTATTTCTCCCTGAATGACGGTGGGTGAATCGCCTTTACGAGCCTTGGTTTCGTCCTCTGTAACATGCCCACCTCGCCCACCTCACCATGTTGATAGCGGGCCAGATGTGATGAGGCGCTGAGGAGAAAGCGTTTTGCACAGTGTGAAATGCTGACCAGACGTGACGCTGGCTCAGCGGGCGCCTCCTCCCCGCGGGGCCGCCCCCAGAAGAGGGTTTAAGACCCGAGGGC